ACAGGGCTTGCAGGGCGGGGGCTCGCAGCCCCTCGCTCAGCAGGGAAAGGGTGTGTTGGAAGGCGACCGTGCTTATCCTCCCGGTGGCGCTCACCCTTCAACTCTCTCTTGCAGCGGGAGCGTGTGCGAGATGATGTTTGCCCTCTCGGCACGGCTCAGCGAAGCTCGCCGCAGAGGTAAGCTGCGCGGCGGGCATACGATTTCACCGTGACGTTTTCGGAGGGACGGGAAGCCGCGCAGAGCAGCGCATGGTCTTGCCGGGGAAGCGGGGAATGCAGGGGAGTCTGAGTCTGAATCGCTTGGCTCCTGATCCGACTAAGTCAGAGCCTTGGCAGGAGCACGTGGGCGGGGAGCGGCTTGGAATGTGCTTGTTGGGGGCTGCATTAGAGGCGCTCGTGTGGGGAAACCCGCTAGAACAAGTCCGGGGGCTGCTGGTGTCCCCCCCGCGCAGGAAGAGGAAGGGTCCCTGTGCAGGCCTGCTGCCCCTCGGGTAGTCTGAAGAGGCCAGGTCCAATCGTCCTTCCAAAGCCCATAGGTTGGGGGGGTGTCTCTGCATTCCCGTTAGCAGCAGAGCTCCCGGCCTGCAACCCCGGACAGTCTATTGTGAGATACTTGGTCCGCTGGGTTCTCTGTCGGTGGCGTCTGTACATCGCGGAGGGATGCCTGTCTAAAGGAACTGCTCTAGCCCGCCTGCAACTAGGGACCAGCTGCAGGAATTGCCGGGGGAGGTGCCAGGCCTGGGCTGTGCAGGAGGGCCAGCGCGATGGCCATAGCGGTCCCTTCTGCCCTTCGAATCCAAGAGCCGGCTGCATTCGTGCCTCCCAGCAAAGCAATGGCTCTGTGTCTGCGGGCAGAGGTGTAAAGTCTCTGGGAGTGAGACCCGTTAGGGCAGAGGGGTCCAGATTTTGCCGAGCTACAGTCTCAAGGTGCCTCACGGACATAGGAAGTAGCATCCCCATTTCGCAGAATGGGAAACCGAGGCAAAGGCCATCTAAATGACTTCCCCTTGTCACACTCAAGGAGCCTGTGTTAGAGCTGGGAGAAATTCCCAGTCTGGTGCATTAACCATTCTCCTCCCCACTCCCCCAAGTACAGCCTGCCCACACTGCGTGCTGGGTCCTACAGCGTGCAAGAGCCTCACCTATATGTGAATGAATTCCCCGACAAACAATTCTGTTATGGCTGAGACTGGTCATTTAATAAAGCACGTCACAGGGATGGTATAATTCACCCCAATCCCAGCCCTACAAACCCTGGAAATTCACTTGAAAGGTTAAGGTGTCAGTTAAGTCCAACCATGGTACCGTCTGGAAACGCAGAGTTAAGGCACCCAAACAGCCTTAACTCTGCCCCGCTGTGGGCCTGTATGAACAAGGAGGCACCCATGCCTGGCTGGCAGTAGTAGAAGAGCTTTGGTTCCAGCCAGGCATGGAGAACGCAATTTGTGCTGATGTAGGGCACAGTAGCAACCTTCCCATAACGAAAGGGAAGCTGTAGCCTTGTGTGGCTGTAGCCTTTGCAGGGCGGTGCTGAATCAACGTGCCTGGTGTCTTTAAGAAAGGGTTTGCCAAACGGCTGTGGAGAGTGCGAGCAGAGCCCCTGCCGAAGAGCTGGAGCAGAGCAAGGAGCAGAGGGCCGGTGCTTCTGAGGAAGCCGCAGAGGGAGCCGTGGCTCAGGTACTGGGGTCAGGGCGGCCAGAACCGCGCGCCGGAGTTGTACCAAAGGTGTCCGGCCATGTTCTGGTTGGGGGGGGGTAGAAGCACTGTCATGTCAGGGTGACCGTGGCTCGTGGGATCTGAGCCCTGGAGACGTCCGGGGGAGGTCGGCCGTTGCCAGCAGCGGGGTGGACGAGCCCTGCGGCGGGGGGGCGTGGTGCTACCTGGGGGACAGGAGGTAGCAGAGCTGCTGCCTGCTTGCAATGACAGGCCCCGTGGGACTCGGCAGAGGAGCCAGGTTCCGGCTGACTCTGCCATTCTCATCCCCTGCCAAGTCCAAGTGCCTGACAGCTCAGTCCCGGAAACGGAGACACCCTCCGACTTCCCCTTGCCACCCCGCAGGTGGCTGGTGCCACGGTTCCTGAAGGGAGTCTGCAGAACTGTGTGTGTTTGTACCACGCCCTCCCCTCCCCTCGGGGACTCACGCTTGCAGCCGGAGGTCACCTCTCCCCCCCTGACCCTGCCAAAGCTGTAATTGCTAACTGGGGTGACCCTCCTTGCAGCCCCCTCCCCCTCCAAGTCAAGGCTGTGCATAAATGGCCAGTCCCCGGGGCATGGATGTGCAGCAGCAGAGGGACAGATGAGCCGGCAGGGCACTCCTCTCCCGACTCCCGGCTGCTGTGCGCGAGGGCAAGACCTGCCAAGAGCCCATAGCTGGCTCCCCAGGCAGGGATGAGGCATGCACCTGCCCCGGGAGGAGACTTGAGTCTCCTGGACCTGCAGAGATATATCTGGCCTATGGAAACGAGTGTTCCTGGCCTCGCAGCAGCAGAGGGACAGATGAGCCGGCAGGGCACTCCTCTCCCGACTCCCGGCTGCTGTGCGCGAGGGCAAGACCTGCCAAGAGCCCATAGCTGGCTCCCCAGGCAGGGATGAGGCATGCACCTGCCCCGGGAGGAGACTTGAGTCTCCTGGACCTGCAGAGATATATCTGGCCTATGGAAACGAGTGTTCCTGGCCTC